TTGAAAAGCATTGCTCTAGGTCAGGGGTAGGCAACCTTGGCTCTTTTATGACTCGTGGACTTCAACTCCCAGAATTCCTGAGCTGGCATGGCTCAGCATGGAAACCTCTCCATTTCTCCTCAGCATGGCTGGCTCAGGAATTCTGGGAGTTGAAGTCCACGAGTCATAAAAGAGCCAAGGTTGCCTACCCTTGCTCTAGGCCAGGGGTCTCCAAACTTGGCAACTTTAAGACTTGTGGACTTCAACTGGCTGGCTGAAGAATTCTGGGAATTGAAGTCCACAAGTCTTCAGTTCTGGGAGTTGAAGCCCACAAATCTACAAATCTGCTCTAGGCCACCCTAAAACCCCTTCTCTTGTTTCATGATAGCAACGATGCCATCAAAACAACCGATAGGTCCAAGATCTCCAACTGAGCCTAACCTTCTTCCCATATTTAGAAATGATACAATAATAATCAATACCTTTTTAAGGAAGAATATTAGAACAAGCTTTCCTAACCAGCAGCTCTGAGATTCATAGGAACTTCTAAAGCCCAGTTGTTAGCTGATCTGCTCAGCTGGGAAACGCTCAACCTGAAATGCATGAAACTATGACAAGGATATTGTACAGGTACTCCTCATTTAGTAACCATTCAAAGTTACAACGGTACTGAAAAAAAGAGACTAATGACCAGTTTTCACACTTACGACCTTTGCAGAGTCCCCACGGTCACGTGATCAAAATTCAGACACTTGGCAACTGATTCATATTTACGACGGTTGCAGTGTCCCAGACTATGGGATCCCCTTTTCTGACAAGCAAAGTCAATGGAGAAGCCAGATTCACTTAACAACTGTGTAACTAACTTAACATGGCTAGTTTCTGGCTAGTTTCTAACTATGATTGTTTGCTGAAGGAGCATACCTCCAGAGTAATTCTGAATATATTTGAGGGCAAAGCGAATATAAGCCAGCAGTGTGGAATGGTTGCAGAAAAGGCAAATGCAATTTCAAGCCACATCAATAGAAGCACAACTTTCAAATTAAGGGAAGTAATTGTTTCTTATTACAAATACTGCTTTGGCCACAGCAGACCACAAATTCTGGGCACCAGGCTCGAAGAAGGATGAATAGAAACTAGAACAGGCTCAAAAGACACAACAACGCAAATGATCAAGAGGTTAGAAATTAAGAGCTACAAAATGCAGTTTTGATGGAACTAATTATGTTTAGCCTAAGAAAAGAAAGCTCACTAGACACAATTGGCCTCTTCAAAATCCTGAAAAGATAGCAATAGCAATTAGACTTATATACCACTGCATAGTGTTTTACAGCCCTCTCCTTAAGCACTTTACAGAGTCAGCCTATTGCCCCCCCCCCCCCCCGCAACCATCTGGGTCCTCCTTTTACCGACCTCGGAAGGATGGAAGGCTGAGTCAATTTTGAGCTAGTGAGAATCGAACTGCTGGCAGTCGACAAAATTAGCCTGCCATACTGCATTCTAACCACTGCGCCACCACACAGTGGTGACATTGAATAGAATGTGTGGTTTTACTTATTGTAGAGCAGAGGTCCCCAACCTTTTGGGCACCGGGGACCGGTTCCGTGGAGAGAGATGTTTCCATGGACCAGAGGGGCCGTGGTTTTGTGTGCTGTCTGCATTCCGCAGATGGGACTTTGCTTGTTTGTGCTGCATGCTGCAGCCCGATACCGGTCCAGGGGTTGGGGACCCCTGTTGTAGGGGAGAAAAGAGAAAATAATTGATTTAAGAGGAGACAACCAACCTAGAACTAAGGAGAGTTTTCCTGATAGTGAGAAGAATTAATCAGTGGAACAGCTTGGCCCCAGAAGCTGTGGGTGTTCCAACACTGGAGATTTTTAGGAAGAGATTGACAGCCCTTTGTCTGAAATAGTATAAAGTTTCCTGCCTTGAGCAAGGGGGATGGTCTAGAAGACCTCCCATCCAACTCTTATTGTTTTGCTCTCTGACTTAACTGAAAACATATTTAAGAAATGGTCAAATGTCTTTTCCTTAAGCAGAAGTTACCGAGAGACAGCCAAGAAAATACTTTTTTCCCCCCTCCCACTCCAGTTGCAAAACAACCACTGAAAACAAGGAGAGATTTTTTTTTCAAGCGATATCTCTTTTCTATACAACTTTTGAGAAATAAGAATTGTGCAATTCCTCTGAGGCCTTAGGTGGGAAATTAAATTCTACCCTGATTGCAAAATGACTGATGCACCTCAACATTATGCTAAGCTCTTCCTGAAAAATATTTGCAGGTGTATATGGGTAGTCCTTGTTTAGCTCCACATGTCAATGCTGCTAACATTGGATGTTCTTGCTTTGACAACATATAGAGATGCAACCTTCTTATGCTTTGCTCTTACAATTGGATGATACTGGGGAGGAGGGGGGAAGAGGAATGTGATGGGAGTTAGTTATACATAACAGTATTGTTATAGTGTGTGAATTCGGGGCTTTTGAAATAAGAGATGATAAGAAATGGCAGGAGGGTGTAATGGAGGGAAAGTCTGCATTTCAAACTAATTGGGGAATGTGATTTATGACTGTAAATTAGAGGAGGGAATTGTGCTTTGATACTATGTATTCAGGGGAGGGGAATTCAGATTTTTGGCTTCAACTACGTTAGTGCCAAAGCTATGCTACTCCAATAAAGATTCTTTAAGGTAATAAATGCCTCGAAGTTCTTTGAAGAGTTTTAGCTGTCGGAGCCATGACACCACAATTGGGACCAGCAACTCAGTTGTTAAGGGAAGAAGTTCCCCACCATTGCAAAGTGAACAAGTTGCTAAGTGAAACAATGCCTCTACTTATGATTTTGCTTCAGCTTTCCTTTGGTTTACAGAGTTGTGAAGGTTGCAAATATAAGGATTGGCCCTAAAGTTAATATTTCATAACCATCGTGCAAATGGTCACTAAAGGAGGCAGTTGTTAAAGGAGGATTACAGCACAAAGGAGCTGCCTGGCCTTTTAAATGCCACTATTTGGGGGGCGGGAAGCAGAGGTGATCTTGGTATCCATTTTTCAGAGTTTACATTTTCTCCTTGCCTTGGAAAGCCTCTCCCTGACTCCAATCACTAGGCCTCAGAGACTTTGGTCTCCCCACAAGGTATCTGTGCAACATTTTCTTATTTCTGTGGGAATTTTTCTTTCTCACTGAAGTCAGCCATTCTCCACCTCTCTGCAGCCCTCCTGGGATTACAAAATCCAGATTTTTCCAAGCTGCACTATTATTTTAATAGCTCCTATGTTCCTTTTCTTCGTCCGCAAAACCCTTTCAGAGTGATGATTAACCAAGAGTAAAATATATAAAGTTTCACCAGTAGACATGAGTTTCACCACGTCTTATACAATAATAGTGAATCTGTTCTCTTTGAGGATGTCAATTGTGGCACAATCCATTTAGGAGACGTTAACAGGAAGCAGAGAGAAGGCCCCAAAATTGTGAATGAGCCAAAAAAAAAAAAAAACCAATAGGGAGCACCCCCAAATATCTCCCCAAGGTCTCAGCATGTTAAAAGTGCCACAAATAGAAGAAGTCCTCGAATTACAACAGCTCATTTGGTGACCGTTCAAAGTTACAAAGGCATCGAAAAAAGTGATTTATGACCGTTGTTCACACTTACGACCGTCGCAGCATCCCCGTGGTCATTCAGCTGCTTGACAACTAGCTCATATGTCCCGGGGTCATGTAATTCCCTTTTGTGACTTTCTGGTTACAGAAGTCAATGTGGAAGCCAGATTCACTTAACAACATTACTAAATTAACCACTGCAGTGATTCACTTAACAACTGTGGTAGTAAAGGGGGCAAAACTCACATAACACCTCTCTGGCTTAGCAACAGAAATGTTGGGTTCAATTGTGGTCAACCAGTTGAGGTCTCCCTGTACTGAATGATTTGGGGTGTCTGTTTTGGGGTGGGGTGGGGGTGACAACCTGGGAAAAGAGGAAACAAAGTTGAATCTAGGATCCTGAATGAATCTGGTCACACCGTCATTTTGTTGGCCTTCCTATCTGGGGGGATTATTTTAGCATCTCTTCCATCTCTATCCTGCAAGACAAGTGGGTTGGATCTAGGGGGGGGGGGTAATGCCTGGATTTGGGAGAGTGGGGGACTCCTGCCTGCTGCTTACCTGTATTCAGCAGCTTAACTCCACCACCTCAGGAACAGTAATAGAGGTGGAAGGGACCTTGGAGGTCATCTAGTCCAATCTCCTACTCTTGCAGGAGACCTATATACTATTTCTGATAGATGGCTGGCCAGTCTCTTCTTAAAAGCCTCCAGTGTTGGGGCACCCACAATTTCCAAAGCAATTTGCTTCACTGGTTAATTGTTCTCATTGTTAGGAATCCTCTCCTTAATTCCAGGTTGCTTCTCTTCTTGGTTAGTTTCCATCCATTGTTTCTTGTCCTGCCTACAGGTGCTTTGGTAAATAAGCTGTCCCCCTCTTCCTTGTGGCAGCCCTTCAAGTTTTAAAGGAAGGAAGGAAGGAAGGAAGGAAGGAAGGAAGGAAGGAAGGAAGGAAGGAAGGAAGGAAGGAAGGAAGGAAGGAAGGAAGGAAGAGGGGGGCTAACATGTACCTCCACCACCATCAAGCAGACAAAGGATGTTCTTACATCTTTGATTGGCCCTTCCCTTCTCTGAAGACCAAACCCCCACCTGACTAATATTCTGTCAAAACTCAGGGGACCTGGATGACTTCACTACTTGGGGGGGAGGGGGTGTCTCAGGGCCTTGGCCACACACACTTGCCAAGCCCCGGCCAAGGTGGCTTCAGATGGAGGCCTTGCCGAGATGGGAAGCGCCAACCTTGCTCAGATTGGTCAAAAACATCCCTCAACTCCCTTTGACTCATCCTCTTCATGTTTCCACGCGGCTGTTGCTACTGCCGTGGCGGTTTGCCAGGTTGAGCGCAAACAGCCGTCTCTTAGTAACCCCCGGGTAGTTCAGACACATACCCACACTCACAAACACATTCAGAGCGGCGAGAGGAGGCGGAGCCTGGGAGGTGAGCTGTCAGCTGCCAGGGCCAACCCAAAGCACATTCCCAAGTGCTCGCTAAGACCAGAGGCGTCCAGCCATTCATAAGCCCTTGCAGGGAGCCAGAAGGCACACCAGCACCTTTGGCCCAGTGCATCTCCAGGATCGGTAAGGCATGGGGTGGCCAGGGACTGGAGAGGGAAGAGTGTCCTGTGAAAAGGGGAACCCCAAACCAGGCACGCTAGCTAGAACAAAGTCCACCTCTTTGCAAGGCAGGGGGTGAAGAGAAGAGACAGCCGCACGGAAAGCAAGGCGAAACTGTGCACATTGTTGTTGACAAGTGTGGCGATTTGCTCCAGAAGCAGCTGCTTTGGGAAGTGGTGCTGGGAGTCGAAGTAGTGTAGACTAGAAGGAGGAAGAGGAGGTGGGTGGGTTGTTTTTTGTTTTGTTTTGAGGGATGGGAGCTTAATGTTTCTCAGGTGCAAACACCATCCAGCTGTCGGTGATCCCACTGACCTCTCCTCCCCATCGTTTGCTCTGAAGGTTGCACAAAATGAGATGCGGTTGGGATTTTTTTGGGGGGGGGGGAATTAAAGTAACAGGACTTGGTGTGAAACTGGCTAGGCTTCCCATAGCAAGGATCTAGGTATTGTTTTTTGGGGGGGATGGAGAATGAAGCCTTTGCTCTGCAGTTTTTATTCGTGCTCGTTTCTTTGTCGTGAGTTTTATTGGGTGGGGGAGCCAGGGGTTGTTTTTTTCGGGGGGGTGCCCTCTGGGTGATAAGGGGGGGACTATTTCGAGCCTGCTTTGGGGCGTGGGTTCCCCCCCAAAGAGTCCTTTCAAGCACTAATAAAGTCGGTGGAAGCTGCGAGGTGCCGTTCCTTACCTTGCGAGGACTTTTTTTGAGGGGAAAAAAAACAGCGGAAAAGCAGCGACGCTTTAAGCCAGATCGAATTTCTCAGCCTTGGGTAAAGGAAGAGAGAATGAAAATTAAACTATATAGGACCTTTTTAAACAAAATTAAGGGACGGAGCACGGCGTTTGGGAGATGCTGGATATATATATTTTTTCTCTCCGCCCCGGCTTCCAATCCACTCTGTTTTGTTTTGTTTTCTTCCGCCTCTTCTTTTTTTTCGCCTTAGTCGAGACAACGCAGATGATGTGCTGTTTGTGACTGATTTGGGTAGCTGCGGAACGGTGTATTGTTGTTGTTGCTGTTGTTGTTGTGTCCCCCCCCTCCCCACTCCTCAATCTCTCGACAAACTTTTCAATAGCCAGCATTTCCTCCCGAAGATGGAAGCCCCCTCGCCCAAAATATAGGCGGCTTGTTTTTTGTTTTTGTTTTTTTTCCCATAACGATGGCTGATTTTTCAGAGCTATCCTGTAAATAAAAAGTCAGTCTTCTCGTTTTTAGAGGGACAAAGATGGGAGAGAAAGATGGGAAGGGGGAAAAAACATTTTATCGAGAGTCGAAAGGAAGAAGGTGGAATTGATGCATTGTGTTAAACCGTGTTGTGTTTGGAGAAAGGAGCCGTTAAGCCACGATGAGGTCGATCCTGGTGCTAAGTCACACAAACTATGGTTTACAAGCCAGGATGACTAGGTTCATGAAGCCAGGCCGGATTCATTAGGGTTTCTTTCAGTGTGAGAATCCAACTAAAGAGGAATCAAACCCAGGATATCAGGAAATTAGGAACACCAAGGATGGAACATCTTAAAATATTTTTTCCTACATTTTATATCCTATCTTCCATTCAGAAGCTTGAGGCACTGTACACAGAGCTCCCTCTTCTTGTTTTTTTTTCCCCCTCAAAACAACCCAACAGAGTAGGCTGGGATGAGAAAGAATGACTGGCTCAAAGTCATTCCATGCATCTCCACTTTCATGCTCAAAGTCATTTCATGACTTTGAATTGGCTTAAGACCGTTTTTCACACTTACGACCATTGCAACATCTCCATGGTGATGTGATCAAAGTCATTTCATTCTACACTGACGGTTTTGGCGTGTTCTGGGTTATTTTGATTAGAGACACTCAACTCATTCCTTTGGGGCTGTTTAGGATTACAATCCCTTCAATCACTGGCCTGGGCTAATGGGATGTGGAGTCTACAACATCTGGAGAGTCCCAGCTGGCCCCAGCATCTGGAATAACAGGATTGGAAGATGCAAGACTGTGGCTTGAAGACTTTCAATAGACACATCTCATTTACTGCAAATGTTTCTGAGATTTGACCACTTTGAGGTGTGTGGACTTCAACTCCCAGAATCCCCCAGCCTGCATGAGTTCTGGGAATTGAAGTCCACACATCTTAAAATGGCCAAGATTGAGAAAGAGTGATTTACTCTATTGCTATCCTGCTTCTCCATTCAATTATTGCTTCCAAAACTGATTCAGTTTTTAAAAGGAGGCTCTGTGTTTAGGCTGGCAATCAAAGCCAGCTCAAGTGGTCCTCGACTTACAACCATTCGTTTAGCAACCGTTACAACAGAGCTGAAAAAGTGACTTGCGACCTGTCTCACTCTTAACAACTGTTGCAGCATCCCCACAGTCACGTGATCAAAAATTAGATGATTGACAATTGGCTTGTATTTACAACAGCCACACGTCCCGGGGTCACGCAATGGCCATTTGCCACCTTTGGATTTGTGTAACAACCACATGTTTTACTTAACAACTGCAGTGAGTTGTTTGAAAAACGTGGCCAAAAAAAGGTACCCATCTTGCTTAGAAAGCTCCAATTGTGGTCTTAAAATGAGCATTGCATCAATGCAAATAATTTTCGGAAAAGATGTGGCCGCAGTCTTTTGCCACTGAAGGCAAAATGCCCATCCTTGGAATGATGTGGAGAAGCATATAACAGAAACATAGAATAACAGAGTTGGATGGGACCTTGGAGGTCTTCTAGTCCAACCCCTTGCTGAAGCAGGAAACCCTACACAGGTAGTCCTCAACTTAAAACAGTTTGTTTAGTGACCGTCTGAAGTTACAATGGCAGTGAAAAAAAGGGACTTATGACTCTTTTTCACACTTATGACCATTGCAGCATCCCCATGGTCACGTGATCAAAATTCAGACACTGGGCAATTGATTCATATTTATGACGGTTGCAGTGCCCAGGATCACGTGATCCCCTTTTGCAACCTTCTGACAAGCACAGTCAATGCGGAAGCCAGATTTACTTTATAACCAGGTTACTAACTTAACAACTGCAGTGATTCACTTAACAACTGTGGCAAGAAAAGTTGGTATTTTTATCCACCTGTTGAATTCTTCCCAAGGACCTGGGATAGACAGATGTTGGTGTTTTGTGATGTTGGATATATTGGGGCAGAATGTCAGCTGTTCTGAGTAAAGCTGCCTTTTGCAATTGACTGATGGGGATTTGGTCAATGCCGATGGGGTTCAAGTGGTGCTTCAGTTGTTGCTATTATGGTTTGTCACACGGTCAGCCAGATGTTCAGGCTGGATTTGGCCATTTTTTCCAAATGGGCCCAAACTCTCTTAACAACTGTGTTGCTTAGGAATGGAAATTTTGCGTTCAACTGTGGTCATAAGTCAAGGACCATTTCAAACAAATGACTGTCCAGTCTCTTTTTAAAAACCTCCAGTGTTGGAACACCCACAACTTCTGGAGGCCAATCGTTCCTCTGATATGTGCACATGTTTGCATAAACCTTTTTTTAAAAAAAACATGCATCTTATTTATCTATCACAAGGGATTGAATGGAAGACTGGAAAAATGGGAAACTGAGTAGAAATCAAATGTGATGGATTTTGCTCGCTCTTATGATAGAAGGCAGAGAAAAAGCTTTGTGGTGCAGCTTTTGGACAGGTGGCATTTTCCTTGCGAAGTGTGAATTATTGTACCCAGGAAATCCCAGGCCTGTAGGCTAGAATGGGAAGTGTAAAAACATCCTGGAAGAAGACAAAACATTTCCATATTATTGTTTAGAAAAGGACGTGGTGATGAGGTCATCAAGAGCTGAGTCAAAGTAGACTTTCCCCCTTTTTAATGACAGTGGAAGAAAGAGATGTATTTTTCAGCCACAGTATAATATCCGATTCAGGGTACATTTGTTTAATGAATAATGATGTAATTAGACATCTCATCGCAGCATCGTTCAGCAGATGGATGCTCCATCTTAAGTGCTTTTCAGTCTTGGAAACTTTAAGCTGTGTGGACTTCAACGCCCTTTAAAGCCAACAGGCTTTAAGATATGCAAACGTCACTCCCAGGAATCCCTGGTCTACATACTTTGTGGACTTCAACTCCCAGAATTCCCCAGCCACCATGCTTTAAGATGGGTGGTCTAATCCATATTGGTTAAGTCTGCAGCCGTTGTGAGCTATACTTTTTGTTGTTGCTGCTATTATTATTGGTTCATTGCATAGTAAGCCAGATGTTCAGATAGGATTTGGCAGTTTTATTCACCTGTTGATTCCTTCCCAAGAACTTGGAATATTCAGATATTGATGTTTTATGATGTTGGATGTATTATTGCAGAAGGTAAGCTATTCTGAGTAACTTTTGCAATTGACTGACGGGGATTTTGTCAGTGCTGATGGTGTTCAAATGGTGCCCCAGTTGTTGTTATTATGGTTTGTCACACAGTCAGCTAGATGTTCAGGCTGGATCTGGCAGTTTTATGAGTCCTTCTCAAGGACTTGGGACAGGCAGATGTTGATGTTTCATGGTGTTAAAGGTATGACTAAAGCTGCCTTCTGCAATTGACTAATGGTGATTTTGTCAATGCCAAGGGTGTTTAATTTTGTATGCCACCCACTCACAATGACTGTAGGTGGCTCACCACAATCAAACATTACATTATTAGACATTATAATAATATCCTATTTCCCTGAAAATAAGATCTAACTAGAAAATACAGCCCTAATACAGTGATAGCGAACCTTTTAGATACTGAGTGCCCCAAAACTGCCCCCCCACCTCCGTCCCCGCTCTGCCCTGCCCGCTGGACCACCACCATCTCCACAGCCTGCCACAGATCACCCAGGCAGCCCAGCAGCGCCATGGTGGCCATACCCTCCACCCATGCCCCGCAGCATCATCTGCATGCGATGGGGTGCAAGGGCGGAGTCTTGTCCCCACTGCCCGGCTACCATGTCCTTGGCTGCGTTGCTTCATATGGGCTGCGCCCGGGAGCAA